TGCAGTTGAAAGTGTCTAAATGAGATACCAAAAAAAAAAAGAAATTATTAAAATAAAGCCATTTTCTGCTTTGAAAGTGGTAAACACCTTAGTATTTAGATCACAGCTTGGGAATAAAGGAAAGTAAGCAATATTGACAGTTTTAAATAGAAAATTTGAAAAATATAAATTTTAATATACACGGTATATGAAATAAATATCTATCAAAATGTTTAAACCTACCTACTGCTTTAAATACGTCAGTTTCTCTAATACCATTTTATGACATATGCAAATATATCAAACAAAAGAGCAACTGTGTAGCATACTCAGAGGAAAGGAAACAAACTTGGCTCAGGCAATGCCAGGTGTCCTTGCTGGTCTCAAATAAAATAATTGGCTCATTTGAAAATGAGTCAGCACATTTAGAGGTTTTGTAGTTATAAACATTCACCATTTTGTCAAATATTCCCCATTTGTTGAAATGACTTGCATGTGTTGAAGTAACCAAATGTCAGGAAGGAATTGTCTAAACGCTTACATATTCATCATGAATAAATTGACTCAGAATTTTCAAAGTCACCTTTTGGTGCAGAATATATTTTGTGTAATCTAGGTGCAAGGAAATGTTCTTATAAAATTTAAAATCTTAATTCTTTCAGTTAATTTTCTTATAAATGTAATTTTTGTTTGTGAAAATAAGACCATATTTTAAAATAAAATATTTTACATTATTTTAAATTGTTTAAAATAAAAGTTTTCTTAAAATATAATAATAAAATTTGTTCTTGAAAATTTGACCGTATTTTTGATGCTCTAAAACATTTCACTTTTCCATCATTCTTCAGGCTGTCTTCTTATGTTTTCAAGTTGACAAGAACATTTATTATGACAAGCAAGAATTTTGTGCCTTTTTTCTTTTCATGTCACCTCTTAATTGCCCTTATTCCCAGCTCCACCCTAACTTTGGGTGGTAGCACATGTTAGGATCCCAGCTATAGGCAAATAATGACCCCCTCCCCCAAACAAAAACAAAAGGGATGCAGACAAGTGATTGGGGGAGTGGAGGTTTTGAGTAGCGTGGAATCACCTTTTAATTGCTGTTGTTCCCAGGTCCACCCTAGCCAGGGTGGTAGCACCTATTAGGGTCCCAGCTATATCCCCAAACATAATGAAAATATAAAAATACATTTTTATAGTAAAAATACCAGCAATACATTTTTCTATAAAAAAAAATTACCAACAATACCTATTTATAGCAAAATGACAAGCAGTACCATTTTATAGTAAAATTACCAACAATACATTTTATCTGTTGTTGAAGGCATACAATTGCGTTCAAAATATTTAGATTTTGACATTAAATAACCCATAGAGGTTGATGTGCTGCTAAACAAAATCAGCCACCCAACCAACCAACCAACCAACCAGCTTTTCATGCCATGTACCTTTTGTATGTAAGTGATCATGATTCTCTATAGATTCTTTTTTTCTTATCTGTGAATTGTATTAATTCTTGAGAAAGATAGTGGAGTAGCTTCGTGATGCTTCTCAAGACTTTTCAATTCAGAGTACATTGGAATAGAAGTACTTAGAATATCTGGGCACCTTGCAACAGGGGTTGAAAAAAATATGTTTGAATAATTCAAAATTCTGAATAATTGAATACTTAAATTATCAAAAAAGAACAAAGAAAACAATTGAATTTTAATGATGAAAAACTAGGAAAATACAAAGTACAAGTAAAAAGTGTTGTACCCTATCAGAACTTCAATTCTTTAACTCATATTAAAGTGCTCACTTTGATATTGACAGCTCATATGACAAAACAGACCTTAATTTCATCCAGCTCTGTGTGTCCACTTCTGAAATACTGCTTCAAAATACTAATGTCATAAAACATTTTCTGACCAATCAGAAAAGGTTTCACAAATTTTTTGCTGTTTCTGAGTTAATGCTGAGTTCAATCATGAAGGCAGATCTGACCCAGCTGAAATTCATGACTGATCCCATAGCAGATAAGCTTCACTCTTAGAATTTAAGTGCACCAGGTCTCAGCAATCTACATTTGAGCTGGCTAGATGTAACTGTAAATTCTATGCTAACAGTTTCTTTTCTTGGGCTTCTTGCTTATGGAACTCCTTTCCAGCTCCATGCTTTCCAGCCAATTTTAATCTTCAAAAATTTAAATGTAATGTCAATTGCTATTTACTCTCCTCCTGATTACTCTTCTTTTGTTCTCACTCCTTAGCAATGTTCCTATTTCTAACTCTTCCACACCCAGTAACCTCATGTATCTCTGTGGCTTTACTGCCTTTCTTGGGGTGAACTTGATTAAAAAGAAAAAAACTGAACATGGGTGATGACATAACTGTCCAGTTCATCAGTAATGACACCAGAGCACTTCCATCAACAGTGGTGTCTTCAGCCAATGACAAAACTAGCAGTGGTAGAGATTAACTCTTGACTACTACAATGCAATAATTTGTGTTGATATTTCTTTTGTTGATTTTAACTACTACCTTGTGTTATAGCTTGGACAAACTCTCATGACTAATACCCCAGAATGTGCAAACAATAAAACCTTGGGATAAAGCCCATTTTACTTATTCCAACCAAGTCTTATATCCATTTGTTGTTTTGTCACTTCAATTTTTTTCCTTATTAATGATAAGGCTGCCATTACAATGGTAGCAAGAATATTTAGTATAAATCACTATTGGATATGAATCAATAAAAGTATAAAATTTCAATCTTTATTATCAAATTTATAAAACAAATAACATGCCAAAAATACAACAGAGGCCAAGAATAGAATTTTCTTTAATGAAAAATTCTCAATTTACTCTAAGGCTTTTTTGTGTTAGGCAAAAAAAAATTATAATACAAACAAAAAAATAAATATTCAAAAAACAAAGACTAAATTACTTATATGGATAATTCTTAACATTTATTATAAAGAAACATCAATCTAACCTTTTACAATTTAACATCTTAAGATTTAACTGCCTATGATTTAACCTCTTATGATTTATCTGTTTATGATTTAACCTCTTGCAATTTAATCTCTTATGATTTAACTTATGATTTAACCTCTTACAAGCAGAAAGAGATTAAACTTGAATGACATACAATTCTTTGCACATCCATACACATAGCTATGTTTTTTTGTTAGAACAGGATGGGGATTAATCTTACACAAAGCAAAGTGGGTTTTGCCTAACAGAAGATTTGTCATAACAATTTGAGTCAAGGTTTTTACATGGCTGAATGCTCTTCCTGATGCCCAACTCAGACATTCATGGTAGCTCAAGTACAAGTATTTTTATCAAGATACCATCTCTAGGATGATTGACATTCAAGGATTGAGACCCCATCATCGCCTTATATATATATATATATATATTAGCCATTGGTTCCATCTATAAGAAACTCATTTGTCATTTGACAGGTTTTGTTTTTCATGACATCAGCCTCTTCATCAACATAAAAGCTAGTAGGGGAATTTGCTTAGATGCCAACTATTCATTCATGTGACAGGTTGTGCTGGGTTAGATGTAGCCAGCAGCAGACCTAAGACTGACCTGACACCTGTGTCTGAACTACATTATTGTTCATCTACTGATGTAATCATAGACACTTTGAATTTCTAAACATTTTGCCAATGGCTGAAAATTTATTTAGAATTTTGTCCTCATATGAATTTGTCATAAGCTTTATAGACATGCAATTTTACATAGTCATTGCATTTAGCCTTTATTTTGTGTGACTTTCATTGTTCAGAGCACAGGAGAAATTATATTTAATACTTATTAAATTTTGTTAAGTCACAACATTCTTTTTGTCATGGTTCATGTAATTTTACTGACTTTTGAAATATAATGTACGTATATAGAAATTTATATACATTATATGTTTTAGAAGCTCAAAAAAAAATGAATGAATGTTTTTTTTTTTTTAAATATATAAAACATTAGGTAAACAAATGACATTTATATACATTGTGTTTTAGAAACTCAAAAAAAAAAAAATGAATGTTTTTTTTTTTTAAATATATAAAACATTAGGTAAACAAAAATACTAGAACACAAGACAAATTACAAAATAGTACATAAACAAATAAATATATGTATTAGAAGGTCTTAAAAAAAGGAAAAAAGAAATTTGCTTTGTCAAACGTAAAAAAAATGTGACTAAACAGTAGATAAAAATTATTTATCTTTTTGGTGAGTAACTAAAATTCCAATGAGCCTACTTATTTTTTTTTTTTTTACCCCATGACCCATAGGGTCATAGAGGCACCCTGTGTTCTGTAGCCACAGTAGAATTGGTATTTCTTGGGCAAGATAGTCTGATAGAGCCCAACCCTCTCCAGGCCAATTTTGAATTCAAAGTTTTTTCCTTTTCCTAGACTGGTTGTCACCTAAGGTTATAGAACCCAGTATGTCCTGCTATTTACCCATAGCTGGGGGGAGAAGAAGATGATTCATACCTTTCCGAAGAGTATTAGCACATAAGTTAATGTAATGGTTCCAACTAGAATTTGAGTTGCTGAAATGTTCACAACCAAATCATTTTCCCCAAATCTGAGCAAATTACCAAACATTTTGTTGGGGTGGGGGGGGATAAAAAGTTTCTGCATTTCTTATAAGAGATAAATAGGGTTTTTCTTGAAGAAGGAAGTTCCCTTCGTTCTTACTGATTTTTTTTAATCCTGTGACCTGTAGGGCTCTGGGGTCACCATATGTATTGCAGTCGCAGTAGAAGTGGTATTTCTTGGGCAAGATAGACTGACGGAGCCCAAACTTCTCTAGGCCTGTTTTGAATTCAGATTTTTTTCATTCTCCTAGACTGGTTGCCACCTAAGGTTATAGAACCCAGTCTATCCTGCTTACCATAGCTGGAGGATTCATACCTTTCCTAGGGGTATTAGCACGTAAGTGAATGTAATGGATCTGACTGGAATTCAAACTTGGCTCAAGCTTACTTGTACACATATGTAATAGTGAATATATAAAAAGGCAGCAAAGGCATCTCTCTCTCTTTTCTTTCTCTCTCTTTCTTCTCTTCTCTTTTTTCTCTTCTTTCTCTCTCTCTCTTCTTCTTTTCTTCTCTCTTTCTTTCTTCTTATTCTTCTTTTCATTTGACATGTATCTCTTACATATCTTTTTTCAGATGTAATTTTAAACACCTGACTTGGCACATGAGAAAATAATTTTAATTTCCAAGCATGTAAGCAAAAAGGTATTAAAATTTAAATAAATTAATTATTATCTATGTTAGAAAGAAGAAAATTTGAAACATGATAATTTGATATAAATTTCAAATGATTTGTAAATTTTATCTTTTTATCCAAATTATAAGCTGACTAAATTCTACTTTTAAGTTGGTTTCTTCTGAGTTGGAATATCAGGTTTCTTAATAATATTTAATAAAAATAAGTTTTATTTCCTTTGAAGATGGCAAACTTATAAATATGTTTTAATGATGTGCCAGTTATAATTTAAGAGTAATAAACTTTGTTTTATTAAATTTAAATTTTTATAGATTTTCCTGATTATTCCTGACACACATGTAATAATAGAACAGTCATTAGTACAATTGCCTCTGATGATAATTTGGGAGAAAATTGATTGTCTAGTGTAAATCACTTGTTTTCATTTCATGTTAATCATTTAATAAAAGATCAGTATGACAATGTTAAATCTTGCTAACCTCGAATCAATGGCCATTTAGTGAAAAGTGCATGGCTGACTTTAAAAAATATGTCTCCATTTCAGGGACCAAATGTGTTGTCATTGGAGAGGTTGGAGTCCAAACAAGCAAGACAAAGTTATTTATGGGAGAAGGGACTTCTGAGTTGCCATAGTGACCAATTCTTCTCCAACCCTTGAGAATTGCAATTTTGTGTTTCAAATAAAATAAGACAAAAGGAAAAGGAACAAAAAACAAAAAAAAAACAAAAATTTTTCTTCATTTTCCTGGCTTTTTTTTATTGAGCAAATAAAGTCTCCCAAAGCCCAAAGTAACCAGATTACACATGATATATATGTGTATATGACAAAAATGTTTATATTTACAAATTAACCTAACTGGTCTGAAAATAAAATTTAAAATTTAAAAAAAAAAACAAACTTCAAGACAGCCTCATAGAAAAAGTAATTCTTTGTACTTAGAATTGGAATTTCATGTTAACTGATTTTTTAATCTTGTTTGTCTGCAGTATATAAGATTGTAAAGATAAGACATTTGCAATTTATAACTTTTACAAGACAAAATCAAGTATAAGCAAAGTAATTGTATTTATATAATTATTCACATTGAATTAGCAATGCATGTTAAACTATATGTAAATTTTATTAGCAGTAGTAGTCTTAGTATTATCAGCAGTAGTATTCACATTGGAAGTGTATTGTTAGAGAAGTAAATAAATAAAAATAAATTATAACAAGAAGACCAACATTTCACCATCTCTAAAAATAGATGTATATCTAAAATTGCCAGGTCACGAAACCATAGTTCGACCACCCAATCAGAAAGCTTTCATAATCAGGATATAAAGCCACAGAACAATGACAAAATGGCTTTTTTTGAAGCAGTTCTATAGATGCGTATATAACCAGATGGAAAATCAACCAAAATTGGAATCAATAAATAAATTTTGTCCATTCTCTGATGCTGTGGTCATCATAACATAACCAGAACTGAAATGCAACATTTGTGACTAGCCAGTGACTTAAGAAGGTTACATCATCCTGCTACATTAAAAACATACACCCCCTTCTTTCTCCACCTTTTTAAACAACCTGCTGATACATTTGAAAAGAGGCATACCTTCCTTTACCCATATTGTCAAGCAGGTAGTTACTATATTTGGATGCATACATGTATATATATACATATATAACTACTTCCTCCCAGACTCTCTCTCTCTCCCTATCTATTTCTTGTATATAGCAAGACTTTTACACTTGAGCTCTTGAAACATCAACTTTGACCTTTTATCCTTCTATATTATTATACTGTCTTATATAAAGATTTATTTTGTATTTATCAACACTCTGTGCATTTTCTTTTAACCATTACATAAAGGCAACATACACCCAAATTAAAATATACTGAAATATGAATCCAACGGATATTATTAGAAGATAATCTACACAAATCCTCCATAGATCTTATACAGTGAAAAATGATATGTGTAAACTATATCATTTGGAATGGTTCATACAGGGTGCGATGGATAAATTGTCATCTAGATTACACAAAAATGAAAATAACACTGACATCTCATTTTAACAGATATATTTACCAAAAGGAAAAAAAATATCTTGAAATACTAATGAGTAAATTTATTCAATAAAATCATCATTGGTTTCAACCATGGCCTCCAGACAACTTAGTTTTACAAGGAATTTGTTGGTCTCTCTCAACTACACCCCACACGTAATAATCAAGCAGGTTGCAAGTCTGGGGAGTTAGGTGGCCAGATATAAGGGGTGATGTGGTTGCAGAAATTGTCTGACAGTCATGACTGGGTTCTCTTGCTTGTGTTGCATGGTACAGAGTCCTGTTGCTGGACATAGGGTCTTTTAGCAGCCACCCTCTTTATCCAGGGCAGCACTACTTCCTCAAGGCACTTGATGTAAGCCTCCATGTTGAGTCTGAGGCCCTGTGGGAAGATAAATGGAAGAATAATGTTGACATCACTAGTGATCACTCCAAATACCACAGTGTTGACAGGATATATCATCCGACTCTTTCAGAATCCTCTGCTCTTTTCACAGATTGACACTGAAACACTTGGAAATGTTCATATTAGAAATGGTGGAAATGCCAAGCAGTATAGCAATTTGGTTATGACTTGGAGGATCTTACTTTAGTCTAACAATACACAATTATTATAGTAAAAACATGTTGAAATTGCTACATGAAAGCTTTCATGTTTCAATACTTTGATTGTACTTCTTCAGGCCATGGTAAGTAACTGGTGATTAAATGATTTTTAAGAAAATTTAAAAACAAAGTGTTAACTCTTTTCCAAAAGTTAAAGGAAGAGAGGAACATAAAGTCAGAATTAAAATAAACTTGTGGGTATGTCTTGGTTAACCAATTAAATATCAGAGCTACACTAAAGTAAGCTCAGAGAGTGGAGGTGGGTGAGTTATTTTTTCATGTCATAATAAACCGGATGTGGTTCAGATACAAAAGAGATTTTATTCTTTGTGATTTACAAAGTTTGTTTACTCATTCTGGGGTGCTGTATGTTAGTTGTGGGAACTGAGAGTTCATTCAAGGTAGTAGTTGAGATAGACTCATGGGAGAAAATCAACACGCAGATGTAGTTGAGTGAGAGAGACTTGTGGAAGAAGTATTCCATGAATTATCGCATTGTAGTAACCGAAAGTTAGTCTCTGATATTGCTGCTCGTTTCGTCACTGGCTAAAGGCATCAATGTTGATGGAATGTGCCTTGGTGATAGCCTGGACAGTCGTGTAGTCTCCTGCATTGTGATAGTCCATGCCATCCTGATCAGAACTACCTTGTGGATGAAATCAGCATTGGCTTCACAGTCAGTGGCTTAGAAACAGCTGTTGAGAAAACCAATGATTAGTCAGAAAAGATGTTTTATAACATTGGTAATTTTGGATGGTATTTCAGAAATGGGTGAATAGAAGTAAATGATTGGGGGCCCCAGGCAGTACTTTGTAACCTTAGCTATCTTATCAACATTTTGTTTTTCTACCGACATTTATATATATTACAAATTAAACTAAGCATAGATGACTATTATTAAAGGAGGAAATATTTAGATACATTATATTTATTTTAAATTTTTCTAGTTGAATTCTTGACCATATTGCATATGATCCATTATTGCACATAATTAGGTTACAATAAAATTTGTATCTTTATATGAATTCTACCTTATGAAAACTGAGATGTGGTAGAGTAGTGGGGGGGGGGACATAACCCCCGCAAATAACAAGTCCTCTGTATCATTTGATCACTTCTAGTAATGTTGCTGCAGCAACTCATTTCATGTGCTTTTATGTACTGGACATTTAAAAGGCCAGGACAAATAACTACCTTGAAAATACTCGTTGAATGTGAATGTATCAAATGTCCCCTAGTTCGTTACACTCAATAACCTTTCTTGCATTCCCTTTAATCTGCTTAATCTAGCTACTTATTATGAGCTGCTCGTTGGATTTTAAAAGTTATGCTGTTGCGGGCTGGTGTACATGTTGAGAGAATAAACACGTGTATCTCCTGAAATATCCACAACAAATATGGCAGACTTGGGATGTGAGTCCACGTAAAGAAATGTAAAGAAACAACAAGAATCAATATATATCTACAAACAAATGATAATGTATTAACAACAAAGGTTTACAAGTGACAAGGAGTATTTATAGTGCTGGAGAGCATTCTCCTAGTAAAGGTTTAGAAAATTAGGAGGAGGTAACCCTGTCAATGCACCAGACATAAAATGTAAGTCATTTTTTTGACAATCCATTTGATTGATATTTCATGTTTCAGGGATGAGTATCAGTAAAGTCTGTTTTTTTTTTTTGTCTAGTATTTCTTCTCCTTTTTCTATGTGTCATGTCCCTTCAGGATGTTGGTGATCATGGCTCTCCACAACTCTGTATTTTGATAAATTTTGTCTTTTTGTTATCTCTCATAAACCGTGTTCTGCCATCCATTTACTCATCCTTGCTAGGTAGGTTATATGTTGTTTTCCTCAGTCCCTTTTATCTTCAATCTGTCCTGTAAGTATCAAATTTTCCAAGCCTCCTTTCTCCATTATATGCCATAGAAATTTCAACTGTCTCTTCTTGATGTTAAATATAAGTGTTCTTTTCATTTCCATTTTCTTAAAAAATTTTCATTGCTCACATGTTCGTTCCAGCAAGGACAAAATAAAATCCTTGTGGATCCATGAAATACCGGATTTCTTGAATGAAGCTAGAATTTGGAAGACCAATTCTAAATCTGAAGCAAAACTTTAGAATTTGGAAACAAGGCATGATAAAAATGAGTCAGGGTCAGAATTTGGAATACAGAATAATTTTTTTAAATCTATTTTCCATTTTATTTCTGAGACATAATTTTTCAAATCTGAAGGAGGACTCAGAATATG